TATATATATATATATATATATATATATATAAATATATAGGGAGAGAGATATTACTCTGAGAAATCAGTACTCTCACTTATATATCATAATCAATAGTATCAAAACTCAAAAATTTCTCATGGTTTACTGCATCTCTCTATAGAAATAGTTATTTATACTACCATCTCCCATTTCGCAATATTATCATCAATTATGCCTTCCAAATCATCTTTGTTCATCTTGATTACGTTCTTTTTCGCGCATGCAACTAATTCTCGACATCTTAAAGAGGAGAATCACCGAGTTAACATGAATTTCGGCTTAAATTCGAAGGGTATCTGGTTCCACTTTCATATTTCATTTCGTAATATTTAGTTTGTTCTTCCATATTTGCGTCGTTAATGCATTCATGATTTCTTCTTTCACCCTTTCATATATGTATCCAAAACTTAAAGTTGTTATTATTGGATCTAAGTTTAACTTTTTTAATTTTAATAAATTGATTCTAAGTTTATGGTGATAAGAAATGCAGGTTCTCAAAATAGTATAACCACCAATGGCAAGGCCCTTCATAATGCAACAGAACCAGAGGTAAAGCCTGAAACTGTTATTATGGTATATATATATATGTAATTTTTCATATCATTTTATATTTTATTGAGTGCCATAATTTTAATATAATGCAATAATTATACATGTGATATATGGTGTATGAAATTTCATCTCATTTTATTTTTGTTGTCTTGTATTGTCTTGCTACTCAGATAAATAAATAACATGTACATGTGCATTAGGGGAAACGATTTTATGTTTCAAAATGGTGTTCACATTCAGAAAAGATAAGGTGAAGGAAGTGTCCCAACGCCTATTTTAGGAAAGACCAATAAAGTTTATGTACCACCCATGCAATTATAGTGCAGGACCAAACATGTAATTTTAACACAAAACTGGAAATAAAATAAAGGACAACATTTGAAATGACCTCACCTTTTTAAAAAAACAAAAAAAAAAGATTCTTGTTCGTTGCTTTTTAATAAAAATATCAAATTGTACTATGCAATGTTATACTTTAAGTTTATGTTTTTTGTTAAGGTATGACAATTTAGCATGAAACTGTCTACATCTATTTAAACAATATGAATGTTTGTGGACAATTTTATCCTGCATGAATAAATTCAGCCAGTAAACGAGCCGAGCTCGAGCTTAGAGTGTTTGAGCTCGAGCTCGAGCCATTAACGAGCTGAGAAACGAGCCAGAAATCGAGCTCGAGTTCTTGTTTATCACTATTAACTAGTCAGTTTGAGCCATAACAAGCCGATCTTGAGTTTTAACGAGTTGAACAGTAAAAAATTATATAAAAATTCTCTTTTTGAGCCTTATCGAGCCGAGCTCGACTCGTTAACCAAACGAACTTTAAATGAGCTCGAGCTTGGCTCGTTAAGGCCTCGAGCTCGAGCTGAAGTTTAGCCTTAAATAATTAAACAGCACTATGCATGATACACGAATTGTTCTAATTAGTTAAGAAACTGTGGTCGAGGATTTATACGAGGAGCAATTCGGCAAAATTGATTCCGACTCCAATGTACCATTATTTAAATAATATTGGAAATTAGCTTGTAGTCGTACGGAAAAATAACGAAATCCATCGTATCAAATTACGTGTTGAAAATATTCAACTTGTTTGATTATCTCGACTTCATAGTAGCATGTATAATCAATTGACAAATACATCTCTTAAGATATAAGCATATTTTGTTAGAAGTATCATATTATGAAAATAATATAAATAACAATATAGGATTTGAAAGTAAAATATGAATATTTATTCAAATAGTATAATATATTGACTCGACTAATTGTTAAATGATCTAAGAGTATGTGTTCCACCTAACTGTATGCTACTTTCATGATGTGGGAGCTGAAAATGATTTGACTAATTATTTTTCCAGAATTTAACACATTCATGCATATTCAGTCCATCGATTTTCTTGCTTGGAGGAACTAGAGTTCAATTGTGAGCCTCCTGGCCCGATATAGTTTTNTTTTTTGTACTTCTGGCCCGATATAGTTGCATCATATATAGTACAAAATTACACATCAACTCGTGTACGACATGGAAATATTGTTGGCCCCGAGTAAGTCATTCCATGATAAGTGTTATCAATGAATTCATATCATTGGAAAGGGGACAATATGAATAGGGCCCTATATAAAGGATTCCAACTTTGCATTTATTGAAATTTTTACCGTTGTCATTGATAAAAAGAATCCGATAACTACACTGTAGTTATAAGGGGTGAAATGAAACCTCCTACATTAGATTCTTGTTGAAAATGTAAAGGGTGTTTTAAGTTAGTTATTTTGATGTGATATAAATTTATTTCATAGGATGATACTATATTTTGATGTGGTATAAATTTATTAATTTATTTTAAGATGACATTACTACCTTTTAAGACACATTTAGACATGTAAACAAGCCGAGTCGAGCTCAGCTCGTTAAATAAACGAGCCAGAAATCGAGCTCGAGCTAGGCTCATTTACCACTATTAGCGAGCCAGATTCGAGCTTTAACGAGTTGAACTGTAAAAAATTTTATAAAAATTTTCTTTTCGAACCAAGTCAAGCTTGACTTATTAACCAAACGAGCTTTAAATGAACTTGAGCTCCGCTCGTCAAGGCCTCGAGCTCGAGCCGAACTCGAGCTTTAGCGAGTTAAATTCGAGCCGAGTTGAGCCTAGCTCGTTTAATTTAACAACACTAGATGGATTTAATAATATAGAGACCAATTTTGGGATAGCGTGTAGGAGACTTAAATGACAAATGATGATAAATTGTCTAAACCATTAGACAATTATAATCCCTTAAAAAAATTGGATATTATATGATGAAATGTCATAATTTTATTTTCATTATATTTAAAATACGGCATTTGATTATAAAAATATGTATATTTATTAGATTAATATAACTGTTTAATCATTATACTCTCTGACATAAGACCTAACTATAGAACTTATAATTTTTATTTTTTTTATTTAATTTATGTTTTTGTTATGCAAATGTAGGTTTTAGCACGACTCAAGGTTGGACACAAGGTTTTGCATTCTTCAATTTTGAGTGAAGAAGATTTAATGGAGACCGATTATCAGCCTCCTCATCGGAAAGCCCCTATTCACAACTAATAATTAATGTTAGCTGATTACATTTAATAACAATTATCTGATATTATTTTGTATATGTATATGAATAAATTTATCAATAATATTTCCGAGACCAGCATAATCAATAATATTTCCGAGACCAACTTATGCTTTCTATATTTCTTCCATTTCTCAACTTTTTTTTTCTCTATCGTTTTTTTTTTTAGATTATAAGTAACTGGGAATTTATATCCTAATGTAATCATGAATGACATATCGTACATGGATAGTTTATAGAAGAGAAATATGAAAGTGAAAAAGTATGTGAGAATAGGTTATGTTGGTTAAGTTCCATAAATTAATTTATAGCTTAATTAATTAACTTATAAACTTAGTTTGGTATAAATTAACTTATGCCTTATTTAATTAGCTTATAAACTTATTTTGTAAAATGGACTAAAAAAAACTTATTTCATAAACTTTCTTAAATAATTTTTCACTGTTCAAACATTCATTTAAACTGATTTATCAATTAAAATCAAATACTTTTATTATATGAGGCTAATTTTTCACCTATCGACTATAAATTGAAAATTAACTTATTTGTTAACTTATTAGCTATCACAAATACAAAATGCAAAGTATATATTGAACATAAAAATAGCAATTGATAAATAAAAAAATGAAAAAAAATGGTAAGTCTACCGTCATCTAATCGTTAGATAATCATATTTTCTTTTAACTAATATTCATATTTTAAAAGGCAGTAAAAAAAAAAAGTATAACATTTTATAATATAATATATTACATATGCATTTTTTAATATAATATTTTATGATATAATATATTAAATTCTGAAAAAATAATATTCATTACATTTACATACTCAATTACTCATATAACCATAGAGTAACCGCCTCCTGTAACCAGAAAACCGTCGCGGCGGTTCACCGGCCTGTCTGCAAGTAGCACCTTCTCACACACAATCACATGAAAACAAACTGCAAATCAACCAAAACAATTACAAAATAGGCGAAAATTCCAAATGCCGCGAAAAACTACTCGGAACAGCAAAATGGAGAACAAATCGGTCGTCCTGCACAAGAAACTGCGCGAACTTGAAACCGAACTCGCTGACGTCATCCGGATCCCCATCGACCCGTCGTCGCCACCCGACCCGCTTCGGAAAATAGCCTCCGACGACATCCGGAGGCGCTTCGCCTTCCTAGACAACCTTCTCTCGCAGGAGATCGCGTCTCAGCCGCAAAGCTCCAGCCAATTGGACGGAATCGGAGAGAGTCTCGCTGCACTGAGGTCGATCTGCTCCGAATGCACCCAGGGGCTTCTCGTTCGGGGAGCGTTTAGCGAATCGGAGAATTTTCCCGGCGGAAGGTCACCGGAGACGATTCGGCCCGATTCCGAGGAGGGCGGGGGTTCGGAGGGAGAAGGATGCGCTCAGTTGGTCCCTTACGGCGGCGGCGGCGGCGGGTCGAGTTCCGATTCGATCTCGTATCCTAGGAGTTTTCCTGGGGAGGAGGCGGTGGAGGAGTTGTTCAGTGGTGCGGAGGAGGATGCGGCTGTGCGGAAGGAAAAGGCGGCGGCGGTGAAGGTGGCGGCGGAGGAGAAGGCGGCGGCGGTGAAGGTGGCGGCGGAGGAGAAGGCGTGGAGGAGAGTGGGGAAGTACGGCGGCGTGTTTGGGTGCGGAGTGATTGTGGGGGCCATTTGCGTGATGGAGTGGTTTTTTGCTGCTATTGCGCCTCAGTTAATGGAATATGAGGCTCTTCTTCTTCCTCCCACTTAGAGTGGAAACCTTTTCTTTATTGTTGGATTTGTAGTGTTGAGTACTATTTGGTATTGTTATTTGTGATTAAACACTTGATTGTAATTTGATGATGTGGAGAAGTCCTCATTACTTATTAGTCTATGATTAGATTGTAGAATATAGTATATAGATACTCTCAGGCTGGGCTACATTTCCTCAAGTTCAAATGCTGTGAAAAGGGAAGTCAAAAAAGGTGAAACTTGAAAACTGAAAAAAAAAAAAAAAATGAAATAGAGAAAGAAAGAAATAGAGAGAAGATTTGAGGTGTTTCACTGCATAAATTCTCCCTTATAACAAGATATCTGCCTAGAATCAAAATGTTACCAATATGTTAAAAGCGCCGTTACGTTCATCTCCAAACTAAAAGCAAGAAAAGCAGATTTTTCATAATATCCTTTTTTAAAAGAACATTGCTTTGATGGCTGATCTCGGTTCCAGGACAGGTAGGATGGATCTCCTAAAGGCCTGCAGAATTTACAAAACATCATCTTAGCACAAAAAAATATGAGTGAACAAGAAGATGATTTGCCTAATGCCTACACAGATTTGCTTGACATTGATATCCGATATGGCTATGTATAAAAGATAAAACTACTTGTAATTATGGCATGTAGAAAGTAAGTTCCACAAGAACAATCTCCAGAACTATTTGAAAGACAACTCAAGGGCAAGAATCTCGAATTTTACAAAACAGAGGCATTTTGCTATTAGTTATACGCATGTTTCCTATTGGTGTTTTAAATTCGCAATTACAAATTTTGATAGGTCGAAAAAATGTGCACGTTTTATATATTTAATAATATATTTTTATACACTTAATTTATTTGCACGTTTATATTTTTCAACTTATTTATTATTTAGAGAAATTCATGTACTTTGATATTTTCATAATTTATTTTCAGCAATTTGAAGAATATTTGCAGGTGTCAACGGATAGGAGGTACTTAAGTTTGAGCATGAAGACCCAAAAGTGCAATGAATTAATTCATTACTCAAGCAGTCCATCTATAAATTCCTACACACACATCTTTAGGCCATGGAAAATGGTTTTATTTGGGCCCATTTTGAAGTGAATTTAGAAGACTTAATTTGAAAGGGCTTCGAGGATTTAAATTGCTAAAAGGAAATTATTCACTAGCCACGAGGAGTTACACGCATAGGAAATAGAGGAAATTGCACCCTGTACAATCAGTTTGTTTTTTTATTACATAAATATAACAACTTTGTAAATATTAACATATTCACATAATCTAGTGATTTTATTTGCACAAATACCACATTATGTTATTAACTGACTTAATGGAATTTAATATCTCCACCACATTTAATGAAATTAGTTACCTAACTTAATGGGATTTAATATCCCCAGCACTCCCTCTCTCTCTCTCTCTCTCTCTCTCTCTCTCTCTCTCTCTCTCTCTCCCTCTCTCGTCTTCTTCTTCTTCTTCTACAGTTCGTCCTTTATTTTTTTTTTCTCTTCTTCTACAGTTTTTCTACAATTCACCCTTCACGAATCCGTCAGTCGTCGAACCACCTCCAGCAGCCGCAAATAGCAACGCTTTAGCCCGGCATCGGACGCCTCCTTTTCTGCCATCACCGAGAGTCATCGCCCCGAAGCAACCCACGCGATCCCCTCGAACAGACCGAGAAGCAGCCATTGCCGTGACCCGAACAACGCTGAGAGAGAGAGAGAGAGACCGAGTATATGTTACGGTTATATACCGTATACCGTATATGTTACGAGTATATACCGTATATTTTCAGTATAAATTTCCGTCCGAGTAATGTAGCATCCAAAAAATCCCACCACTGCGGCCCTTCTCAAGAAATCGCTCAAGAACAAGAAGATTGATCGCATATACATAAAATATACCTAAGATATACATAAAATTGCTTTCAGAATCCACATATACATAAAATATATCTAAGATATACACTCGATCCCTGAACTGCGGATCTCATTCAGATCCCACATATACATAAAATATACATAAAATATACATAAGTTTTGATCGTGTAAATACTGTATCTTTATTAATCGTGATTTTAATTTATTTTCAGAGAGAGAGAAAATACATTTAAAATTTAATTTATATTTCTTTCCATGCTGATAACAACAGATTCCTAAAAAATAGTTTATATTCACTTACCTTTTTATTCTTTTCCAGCGAATTCATATATATGCGTGATTTTAGGAAGGTCCCTTTGACAGTTATTATATCAGTTGCCCTACTTATGGGGAAAGACAGTTATTATTTTTGGTAACCAAAAATCATGGCAAATGTAATCTCATCAGTTACACAAATTAAGGGGATATGACCGTTTTTTTTTTCATGCTAATACTAATTATTTTGGTAGAGTTAGGTATTAATGCAATATATTTCATATAGGTAGTATAGATGCAATTAAAGACAAAACGTGTGGGAGAAATAAAAATTTCCCTAGGAAATATTTGGTGGAGTTTTGATTAGCTGGGGCACTTGAATTAATTTCTAAGGAGCAGGGGAACACTCAGGCAGACAGAGGGCAGTAGCCGCGGACAGAAAAAAAGACACGCACAGACAGGAAAAAAAGAACGGAGAGGAACAGATACACGCACAGAAGAAAAACACAGACAGAAAACTCTCGCACGAACTGGAAAGAAGGCTACACACGCGGAGGAAAGTCGCACCCGCACACGAGGGATATTTTATTTTCTTTTTTTTTATCTTATATTTAATTTTATTATTATGTTAGAATAAGATTTTTATCCAGTTTGAGGGAATGTTTGAACTCTAATTTCGATTTGTCTATGAATTTATTGATCTTTATTTATCGTTGATTAATCTAGACGACGTATTTTTTTTTTTTTGATGAGTTAATTCATGCTATCTGTGTTTATCGTTTATGAATTATGGTGTTTGACTTAGTTTGACCAGCTAGGTTGAATATTCATAGTTTAACTGCTAGATTCGAGGCTTTAATCCGTAATTGTTATTGTCTCGTTTCGTTAGTAGTAAACTTAGGATCGTGCATCTCTAAGGTGGCGTGAACATAAGTTAAATGGTCCGAGCTTTTGCATCCATTGCTTAGACTAATCTATTTTCGTAGAAATTAATGCTGCTAGTGAATTAAATCTAGAGAGCTTATTCTAGGTTGTCCACTAGTTAGGTTTAGTCGAAGAACTTATTTCGATTAAATAATCGGTAAGGGAAAATTCGGTTAACAGAGCTTATTGCTACCTAGGGTTGGTAATTCATTAGCAATTTAGAAAAAGCGTTGAAATTCATTAGCGGTAGATTGAGATTGGGTGAACCGAAAACTGGACTTCTCTCATATATTTTATTTTATTTTATTTTATTAGTTTTATTATTGTTATTAAAACCAATCCCCCTTTTATCGCTTTCTTAGTTTTATTCAATTAATACAAAATTATCACAATTTAATTTCTACTCCTCGTGGGATCGACCCTTACTCGCCGCTACTACTAGTTAGTAGAGGTTAGTTGAGGAAACTTTATAAATTTAAATTTGCCGCGTCGCGACGGGCGGTCAAATTCATAAAAGAGTTCTTGTCTGATTGAAGTGCGAGATGTCAATATTGTAGTTGAGGAATAACATAACAAAAAATGCATATAAACAATAACGTATAAAAGCTAGAGCTAATTCACCGGAACACTCAAATGAATACCCGATAAAGAATGATTTCTTCACACAATTTATCTGATTGAATGACTGGTATGTAGAGGTGGCCACGGGCTGCTCGCCCGCCGGCCCGGCACGATGATTGGTCGAAAAAAGTGTGTATTTTATATATTTATTAGTGTATTTTTATATGCTTGCGATAAAATCAAACATATATAAGTACGCGAATAAATATAATTTTAGTTCTCCATGTAATTGCAAAGAAACTTGACTTTTAGTTCTCCACCAACAAAAGCCGGTCAAATTGACCGGCTGCTAAGTTGGATATGTTAGTCGAATGCCACGTGTGTGGAAAAAAATGAATAAACAATATTCACGTTAGCAACCGATCGTAGGGATCGACTTTGCCGGTAGAAGGACTAAAAGTCATAATTTTTTACAATTTATAGTGTGTTTTGTAAAGTCAACGCAATCACCGAACTATTTTTCGATTAGGTGTCAGTTATGGAACTAAATCTTCAATTTTTTTTTCGGTTTGGCAGTGTCACCTCTCCTGGAGTCCGTCTGTCTCCCTGGGGTGGGGGCGGTCGGTCTCTCTAGCAGCCTGGGGAGCTGTCTTGAAGATTTTTTGGTTTTGGGTGTTGTTGTGGTTGTTGCTGGAGTTGTGTTGGGGGAGGAGATATTGGTCGTATCCAGGACTGTTATGCGGCTCTCTTGAAATGAGGCTTCAGCCTTGTAGACTTGTTGAGTTAGCCATAGATTTCTGAGTGTGGAGTTTGGAATTGCGAGACCCATGTCCGGGGCTTTGACCTTGTTTTTCCTGGGCTATCTTCGTTCATCTTTTATTGGGTATGGTGTTCATCTCTGGCCAGTAGTAAGGAGGGTTTTATTTTACTGCATAACTTAAGTGTGTGTTATATTTTCTGCATATTTTTCTTATAGCTTTTCCGTTTCATTCCAACTGTGTTTGGAATTTAGTCTTCTTTATGGAGTTTTTTGTCTAATTTTTGGAGTTTTTGTTTTGTTTGCTCGTACTTACCACCTGGTTGATTGTGTTTCAAAATGAATTGATTCAAACTTTAATCTGATTCCAGTGTTGTCTTTGACACATTGAATGTACTCTTTTTGAGTTTTTCACTTATAATATAAACTAGTACAATATTTTTGTATTACACGGGATGCTCGTTAAGCAATTTATACGTAATTTTAAAAAGTAATAAAAGATGTTGTTTTAAAATTTAAATACACTTTTTTTAAATATGATTATTTTTATTTAAAATATATCCGTCACATATACGACTTATTCATCTTATATTATAATATTTTCTTGATTTATATCACATAATTAAATTTATTTAGTTGATAAATATTTTATACATATAAAAACTTGCCACCAACTTTATTGAATAAATTTCTCGGATTTCATTGTTTCAAGCATGATTGGGGCACCAACTTTATCGAATAAGACAAACTTGCCAGTTTAAAACCATGTGAGGTTGAATCAGATCAGCTGCTATAATTTTAGTAAAATAGAACTTGTATTCATAGAAGTATAGAACTTTTCAATTTATTTAAAACAAGACAAAAAAGAGTTTTTTCTAATAAGAAAAAAAAAAGGTTTTTTTGTGTTAAATCTCATATAAATCCACTCATAAATTTTTTTTTTTTACGGCAATAGAATTAGATTTTGATTGCTTAAGAACCACAAAAATAATTAGAAAATCTCCTATATATAAAAAAAAAAATGAATTTTTTTGTGTTGATTTATACGAGTGTTAAATTTTGGATGATACCAATACGTGGGCCGATATTTGTTAGGTGAAGTTATTGAATTTTTTACTGGTGAATTAACAAGTACAGTACAATATAAATATATGAGTGGTAAAAAAATTTCGTCTGTAGCAACTTACTATTAACAAACAATGATTTTAAAAAAATGAGTATGCCCTCGTGTCCATAGATTTCTCCTTTCCTACGATAAAATGACAGATTGTAATACATCTGAGTGTGAGACTAACATAAAAAAACTGAGAATACTTGATTTGTCAAAATCATATCCATAGGCATACCTTATAATATATATATATATATATATTTTATTTTATTTTTGTTTATTTTGCATCCAGCCCATAGAAATTTCTGGGAAACGCGTGACTAGATTTTCACTACTTTAATATCCCACATCATCAAGATTCAAGATGATGAGAATAATAATTATATTTATCTCAAACAAATTATCTTATTATATTTATCCCAAAAAAAAAATCGTAAGTGCCAAAGTTCATCTTCCGATTTTAGCCCTGTCGTGCTCAGCCCCAAGTCCTATCCACTTTTTTCTTTCAACTCGCAACCAATTGGCTTTTCTCACTCTCACAGACTCAGTCCCATTCGCCATCTCTCACATCTTTCCACACATCTGACTGTGTATCTGCTGAAAATCAGGAGAGCTTTCCTCTACTGAAGCTGAGCAAAAAGATGAGCAGATTCAGGAGATTCGAGATCGTCGAGCACTCCCCTTTGCACTACCTCCAGCAAACTTCCCTTCTCAGGCATGCAAGAACCCTAGCGCTGAACCCCTTCTTCCCCTCATTCCCCAGTGTTGAGGACGAGCTCGACCTCCTGACCCTCGCCCCAGCTCCTCCCTCTTTGTTCGATGAATTTGACACCATCACCGATCTGATCCAGATCGACGAAACCCCGTTCCGCTCGTCCACGCGCCACCTCACGCGCCGAGTGGGGTTGGGGGATCTGTACCTGCAGTCGCTCAGCGACCGCGTCTCGGCTCTGGAGCTGGAGCTGGGGCTTGGCCGGCTCGCGAGGGAGGAGAAAAACGTGAAGAAAAAGTACACATGGACGGCGGAGGTGAAGAGCCCGGAGAATGACCGGAAGTATCAGTGGACGGCTGAGGTCAAGGGCGAGAAGGAAGGGGCGGAGAAGAGCTACAAATTGACGGCTGAGATCCAGAGGAAGGGAAGCTCCCGGAGCTTGCCAGTCGAGCAAAAGTACACTATTAAGGTGTCCAGCGGCGGAAGCAGCAGTGATTCGGAAGAGAAGGTGAAGAAGGAGAAGAAGAAGAATAAGAAGTGTGAGAAGGTCAAGGAGAAGAGCACGAAAGGCTCCGGTGCCCGCATTGTTGAGATTGAAGAACCAGCCGATCATGGGGGGATTGTTTTGAGGCAGGTTGGTGTGGTTTTTTTGTCTAGCTTTACATTGTTGTCGTCTTTATGTTAGTGTAGCTTTTAGATTGTCTGTTCAGATACGTCAATGGATTCTTGCTTGCTGTTTTTATGAGATTCTTGTTGACAATGATGTGATTGGCCTTTGTTAACACGGGAAAAGTGATTAAATTTGTTTTGATACTTATTGTTCTAGCTTGATTTTGAGTGAGTTACTTTGTGATTTGCCTAAATCTAGAGTCTTTGGTGTTTAAGAGTTACTGAGTGTTGACTTCACATTAATGGAATGCTAGGAAATTTTGCTGATTCGCGAAAGTTATAACAAAACTCCAGGCCCGATGACTCGCAAAAGTTAGCTCTGCATATTAGTTGACTGTTTGAATAATCACCATTATATATGTCCTTGTCACACGTTCCTATCCATCATTAGTTGGGCGATCGGTTACTAGTTTGTTTGTCTTAATTAATTTTTAGAATTTGTGGATATTATTTCGTGCTTGTGTTAATTTCCAATCAATTCAGCTAGGATTAGTGCATGAAATAACCACAACAAAGTTCTGTACTCCAATCATATTTATGCTTCTCACCTTGTTTACAGTGACTTACAGCATTATGGCATATTTATAATTTTATCAGGAATATCTATTTCTATCACCCTTCACTGAAAGAGATTTTAATTGTTTCGTTTTTTCTTCCACTTACAATCTTCTGGTGCAAGGTTTTTGCCAAGAGAGTGGATAAAAGTAGGGGTAAGAGGAAGGAGCTGTCTCCACTTGAAGCTGCGGCTCTGATTCAGAAGAAATTCCGGGCTTATCTCATCCAGAGGTCTCAGGCCCTTCGTGCACTTCGTGAGCTGGCCATTGCTAAGACCAAGCTGAAGGAGATTAGAGTTTTGTTCAACAACTTCTCCTACCGCCGTCGTCTGGCCCGTGATGCTGAAGAACGCCAGAGATTCTCTGAGAAGATCATTGTGTTGCTTCTGACTGTTGATGCCATTGAGGTAGTAGTAAAAAGTAAAAACTAAAAAGCATTTACTTTTCAGAAATCTTTCGTATTGATTTTCGAATATTTTCCTAATACTTCGCCTTGAAGTTTGATGTTGTGAATGTTTGTTTTCATAGTGCCTTCGCAATGTAGTTAATTAAGAAATTGTGAATTTTGTGCTTTTTGTGAATCGAAAGATTTCACAAATTGTTCATTTTGTGGAAATTTCTCTTTTCCTTTTTTTCTTTGTTCATTTCACTTTAAAACTTCTTTTCCTACACATTTAGGGTGCTGATATGATGGTTCGAGCTGCAAAGAAGCCAATGGTGGATGAGCTGGAAGCAATGCTGGATGTGGTGGACCCACAGCCTCGTGGCAAATCCCTGTCCATGCGGAGGAGAACTTTCGACATGCCTGATAGTGCAATTAACAAGGAACTTGCTGCTGGTGTTGCCCAGGTAGTTCAGTTGCTGGATAATGAGGCAGACTCTTCTGAGACTTTTGAAGCATGCTTATGAACTTAGGTTCGGAAGTTTTCGGCCCATCTTTCACTTTTGAGGTTCTTCCTTTTTTATGCCCTTGTTTTAGGACTGTGTACTATCTTTCCCTGTTTGATTTACTTCTGTTTGCTGAGCAGCTTCTGGGATATGTATTCTGAAGTTTGAAGAGTTTGTTGGTTCATCGTGCTTTTACTTATTGTTTGTTGTCTCTTATGGTGAACAAACAAGAAAGTGGTTTGACTTTCAAATTTTATCTTAAGCTTGAGTTTGAATGTTTCATTATGTTGTTTTATGGGTTTTTCATTGTGGATGACAATTATTGGTTGCTTTTGTTCTGTTTACTTTGGAGCAATCCTTGGTTGCTTGTTCTGTTTACTTTGGAGGCGTAGAACTTGATCGAATCTGTTGTAGTATGCCTTTATAGTTGTCATTTGGGACTGGTTTTGCGCTGAACTGATATATTTAGTGGGATATCTTTTTTAATATAAAAATGTTAAAAAGTTTTGGAAAAACAACATCAAGCATTATTTAACACGTTTTGAAATGTATGACATTTCACCACAACTGTTCAAAAGTTTGATAGGATTCTAGTTATTATAACTCTGGAATTACACTCTAAAGATCACAACAGACTGGGCTCGATCATTTCTTACAATACAAAGATCAAAATCAAATTCAGCTCAAACCTCGGTTACGCAATCAAAAGCTCAGTCACAATTTAATTTACAATCTCAAATTCACAAATCACATCCCAATTTTATTATGCGGAGAGCGTATTTTACGTGCTTTGAGTTTGTTGATTTATTTTAAATATTTTTAAAGTTTGTTCACTGTTAGTATTTGTGGTTCGATCAAGCCATTCTATGTCATTCTTCATTCGGGTCGTTTGTTGTCATTTTATGGAAGACATGAACGTATGACAAATATTATGAAATCAATCAGAATTGTCCACAAATAACATATTCATCACATTTTTAAAACCTTATGCTTTTATGAAATTTAACTTCACCCGCATTTACATTAATGCTAACAATACTGGATCAAAATACAGCTGTGTGGATACGAGTTTTTCAACGGTAAGGAAGAAAATGAAAAGTGGGTTCATAGTTTTAAGCTTTCTTTTCTTTTTCTTTTGTTAAAATGGAACCAACCACCTTTTGCCCACTCCGACACTAATTAGTATTTACCACTGTTTTTTTGTGATATATTGCTTAGTGAGTCAGTGACACATAATCTCCGAGTCATATCATAGTTGCACATTTTTGTACTTCATCGTCAACAATTAAATGTTTCAAATTTTCAATAAATGAAATAATATTCAACACGGAACTACTCATTGACAATTATCTTCCATATATTATATGATATCAATAAATAAATAAATGAAAACTAATAATAAAGCATAAAATTTAAGTGTAATAAAAAATAAATGCAAAAGTGATATGGAAATGGCGAATAATTTTTCCCAACGAATTAATTATTTTCATTTTCAAAATGTATTGTATGTTCATGTGATTTTTTATTTATTTATTTTGGTTGCTGCTTATTATCTAAGCTATGATTGGATAGCAATGTCGCGAAATAATATTAACTGGTGGAAAAAAATTACAAAGTAATGTTGAGCGGAAATTAACATCGATCATAGAAAGTACAACACCCCACTAAAATTCACATTTTTTATGTCCGTAGTCACATCCAAGCATCAATTATGCAAATATATGAGATGATGTAAATCATTATATTACCATCTTATAAATTGCACTAAATTTGAATTACTCATCTTTGATCTACCCTATCTATGTCTGCAAACAAATCCAACAACTCATCATTAGAGTTTATTAAATGAAATGAGTTATTCGTGAGCAGAGCTCGACTCGGTTGATAAATGAGTTGAGCTCCAATTAATTTAAAGATCGTTTAATTAAAAAGTCGAGCTCGGCTCAACTCGTTTACATGTCCTACTCGCAATTAGTCGAGTTAAGGCTCAAGTTGAGCTCAAGTTTGACGAATCTAGATCAAGCACCTCGAACATGAAAAAGCACCTCGAACTTTTTATTAATATCCGATCCTGACTCTTGCAAAATGGGAGCTAGAAACATGATTCTCATCTCGATCATTTGTATATTTTAACCGAAATGAAGCCTTAAAATACCGGTTCGAGCTTGAAGAACAGTGAAAAAATTGAGTTTGCTTGATAAGGCTATTGTTCGATTCGGCTCAATTCATTTGCAACCTTAACCCATTAATCCTACCTATACGTATTATTTCACTATAGCTCATTGTTTTTATACATGATTAACTTATATTATCGAGAAATACATCATATTGGGAAAAGTAACATCAACCTGAATAAAGAAATAAATCATATTGACTTTGGAGTTTTGCACCAAAATAGCATCCATGCATTAAACAAAGTTACACACGTTAATAGAAAAAGTCCCACCATAACAAAATTGGCCCACATAAATACCTAATTTTGCCTAAAAGTAATTAATATAAGAGATTAATGGTTACCACTTTTTAACGTCAATTAAGGCACCATGATTGGATTTGGGCGTACAATGTTTGGTCAAAAGTTAGACGTACATTTTTTAGCAACTTGATGAGGGCTCCTTTAATTACTCGTAAAAATGAGTATTACTTTCTCAATTATTATTTTTGGAGACTTTACAACATTTTTCTTCTATCCCAATTCAAGTTATGAAGGTTTAATGCTGATTTTCTATCAATTACATACTTGCCCACACTTACACCTATATATATATATTTGTGAGACGATAAAAAAACACTCCACACCGATAGATATATAAAGTGTGAACGATTAATTGAGCTTGAACCTTTAAAAAGTTGAGCTGACGGCTCGTTAACTAAATTAGACAGTAATCGAGTTCGAACTTTACTTGTTTATCAATATTAATGAGTTAAACCTACGAACGACTTATTTCGTTTAACAACTCGACTGATAGCTATTTTTCAATTATTGTAGTGGATCCTATAATATCAATAGAAATTGATACTTAATTATGTTTAACATTATTTTGCAGAGTCATTAATAATCACTATACTAAACATATATTTTAAGATTTTAAGCATTGTGTTTACTGTTGTTGTATGAAATTTAACAACGATATTAAACTATAACAAGATGTAATTAAAGCAAGAACAATATAGATTTTGTATTATTGATGTCTTTTTTGTGAGTACGGGAGGTCGGTTTTTGTGTATAACCGAGCTATTTTTGTATGTCCGTGTACAATGTGCGTAAAAAGATCCCCGTACAATAATAAATTCTGCTATTTATAGTGCGGTGCCTTTGACTTTTCGTACGAGGTAGATTAAATTGCATTTAATGTTGAGCAGCTTCATCAAAGCCGTCTGTAGGGCGATGGAGGGACAACAATGATTACAGGAGTAATATGTGGCCCAATCAGACATGCGCCTTGTCACCTGCTTTGATCCAACTACCTTGGACCTTGGTTTGTGTGGATAATCTTCAGGAAGAATATTCGAAAAGTCGGTTTTTGTCTTTTGTGCGAGGTCAGTTCACCGCCATAAGTGAAGTCGGTTTATCACCTTATTTGTACCGAGGTGGGTTAAGTTTGTTGTAGGAATTGAGCTGAAAGAACTGTTGAGGATAATATCAGTAAATCCTCCTTTTAATCTTGAAAATATCTAGAAAATCAAGTCGGTTGTCAACATTTACTTTGTTAATAGTGTATTAGAATGAAAGTAACTTTGTTAATAGTGATTATCTCCATGTTAACTTTGTTTGGAGTGATTATCTCCTTATTTTCTTTTCTTCTTTCTTTGATGTAGTACCTAACTCGATTATCATCTGATTGTATCGATTTGGTTTCTCTTAATCAAAAAAAAAAAAAAAAAAAACTATTGATGCAAAAAAAAAATAGTGGATTAGAATGAAAGTAGGAGTCAATTATCTTGGGGAGGTGGCTTGCCATTTTTGTAAACGAATCTCAGTTCTGATAGTGTCAGAGGAAGAAACATTGGACCTAATTAAAATTATTAAACACTTTGGTTTGGGCCCCATACGAGGTTGGATGGGCCCAGTCCATATAAAAATTATTTCACAAGTTTTGGTATTAACATCGTTTGTTGGTTAATAATTAATCATATTGTCTCCTACTCTTTGGATATGAGGGTGCAAGTAGTTTCACAAGGGTGCTATTGAATATATTTTTTTCTATTATTTATTCACCAATAAAATAAAATAATATATTATTTATATATAATGATATATTTACTGTTGTGGTAATATTGTCGAACCGTTTGAATATAACTAAACCGTTCGTTACAGTACGTAAAACACTACAACTATTCATATATTTATAAATAATTATTTTATTATTGTGTATATATTACATTACAATCGTTACTACATCGCCTTACACTATAATAACTATTAATTATTTGGGTCGTTTATATTTTTTCTCCAATAAAATAATATTGAAGCAAAAACATATCAACTTGCACCTAAGTGTTGATAATTCTATTAGCATGAAGCATTTTTAATTTGGGTTTGAAATTAAGATCACGGGGGTCCAAATTCAAAATAGACTTTATAGTTTATAGAGTCATTTGTCAATTTTAATTATTTTGAGGCCATTTATTTAGATTTTTTTTTAATGGGACCAAAGTCCCCAAAGTAGTGATTGATGTGAATACCAAGGATGGCACCACCACTCCAGTATGTTTTATTGACCTCTAATTTGCTCCTATTTTCTATTCAGAAATTAATTAAAAAAAAAGGTTCATATAATATCNAGTATTTAAAAACAATAAATAACTCTCAAATTATTAAAAAAATAAAAAACAGAAAAGGACCCTCTAAAAAATTAAGTGAAAAATAAATATATGACTAGCTAGGTTCCAAGAACAACTGGGTCTAGGGAGTTCAAACGGTGTATCCAGCTGGCACGGAAAATGACCATACAATTCGTGGGACCCACTGCCAACGTGGCTACGTCAGTCCTGACATAATACACAGGTACCTTTACGCGCATCAGCCTTGCGAAGTCGTGCTTCCACGTGTGATGCGTCTTTTCTTAATGTTTTACTTCTCGGCCCCCCCTATTTTCCTAATTTATTTATTTATTTATTTTTATTTTTTATTTTTTATTTTTTTCTTCTTCAGGTTTGGACCGTTTGGTGCGAAATAATAAATCCAATTTGGTCTGGCTGCCAAATTTTAGTTTGTACACGTCCATCTCGACATTGACGCTCATATTTTTGGTGGGTAATAAAAGTTAATCCACACATTATATTTTACAACATTAATATAAACCCCGATGATTGCCCTACACGCCGGATGACAAATTGACAATCCTCATACTAACTAATTTTATTCCGTGTATTTGTACGAAAAGTGATATAATAAAAGATAAAAAATTAAAAATATAAAATAAAATAAAAATCATAATTTAATAAGTGAAAAAAAATAAACTTAAATATTATTAAACACTTTTTTATAAACAATATTCGTGGTTTTTCTATCATCAAAATATCACAACAAATCATTATCGTTAAACTTGTTCGACTCGTGACTCTGGGATTTAATTTTTCAAAATATTTGATTTATCTTTGTAATATCTAAAATTTTTTATTGTATGACTACAATATAAAATAGAGATATTTGTAGTCATTTTTAATTAATTGTGAAATATGTATTTATATAGTACAAAAAAATATATCGTATCAGAGTAAATACAAAAATATTTTGTATTTTAGAACATAAAAAGACTTTATAGAAATGAACACCATAAATTAGACATATCAAAATAAATTGTGTAACTGAAAATTACATATTATTATTAAATGGTGAACATATTTTTAATAAATGAACGTCTATTATTATTAATTGATGGCTGAATAAAATTGATTGAAGTTTGTCAGCAATTATATATGGGAAATGCTACGCCAACTTAATGTACAACTAGGTTGACAACACAACTGAAAACAACCACTTGTGTATTTTTTTTTTCTTTTTATTTTTTTTAATATTTTCACTTGTATTGTCAACCTAGTTGTACATATATATATATATAGATATAAGTCCTTTTATTGCATTTTTAACATTCATACACTTCCTGAAAAACTTTAAAGTTTGCCAATCCTATAATTACTTCATAATTACCCCAAACTGAATACTCTCAAACTGCCCCGTCAATTTTGTTTATTCACAGTTAGGCTAAAATTTGAGCTTACGAAGATGTGAATATGTAAACGTGTTTGGTGTGACTTGCGAGGCTTAAAGTTCGTTATAATGACTTGGCGACGAGTCATCAATTCACCATCTTCGTTTCATTTACCTTTGAAATAAATAAAGGCTGCATATTTCACGTGAGACATATTCATATAAACAAGTAATGTTTAAAATATTTATGTTACCTGTCTCTCTTTTTCATATAATAAAAATCATTTTTATTCATTTTATTTTTTTATATATGAACTTTAATATTAAATATTATAATGATGAAATACTAAAATGTATTTTTAATATGGACGGACATATTTCACTTCTTCATGAGACTAGCACCACATGACTACATTATATGATCACACCATGTGAACTGTAAAATATAAATTTAAATTTATAAGTTGAAAAAAGTTATTTATTTTCAATTCGAACTGAAAATAACTATTTTTACTTGTCATTAGTGACGCTGATGGACCTACTCTATGTGTATAAATATTGTTGTTAGACGGTTTGGCCATTAGTCAACTATACTTTCTCACAAAAACGCATACTCAATATTATAAAATATAATAAATTTATTTATATTTTATGTTAAAGTATAGTATTTAAATGTACAAATATGATAGAATGAACATTGAGTTAACATGACCATCTAGTATTACATAATCTTATTTATATTTTATTTTAAAATATGACATTTAAGGTAGATGTTTGAACCTCTATTGAATAAATCATCTAAGATCTAACCGGTCTAAAATACAAAATGTAAATATAATTTTATGCTATATTCTAATTGAAATTTGGTCATATAACAATAACTCTGAGAGGAGAGTGAGTGTGACGTGGTGGGTTGTCTCATTATTTCTAGATGAATCTCTAGATTAGTAGTTAATCTAGTAATTACACATTACTCATTAGTCAATATTAATGTAATTTAATACAATTAAACAACGATTAATCTTCCACATAAACACGTTAATATATAATAAATCAGTCAAAATCGCGCGAGGCGTAAACTTCCCCAGGCAGCGAATTTGTCTACGGTTTTACTCCGTCAAGTTCTCTGTTATTTCCTCTGACCTTCGTTCGTACGTCTCGTCTGCGTGTATATATACACCTATCCCCCTTCATCCTGACCTTCTTTTTTTTTTTTTTTCTCGCTCTCTGTAATTTTGCCATTTTATACGGTGTTTATACCCTATACGCCCGGCGTATACGTACACTTGTTCCCTAATTACGTACATTTTCATCGGTCCCCCGTGAATTTTCTGTCTGGATTTTTGCGTTTTCTCATCTCGTTTTCCAACGATTATCGGTGTTTGAAAAAGGTGATGTCATCTCCATTTATGAATGGAATCTTGTTCTTTGAGCCTTGACTCGCTTGGCAATGCGTTTGTCTGGTTGTTGTTTTGCTGACGTTGTTCTATCTTTCTCATTTCTTTTTTTTGATCTGTCTTCTTTTGAATCAGGTTTTCTTTTTTTAATCAGCATTTTGCAAATTTGTTCATCCTAGCTGAGCTCGAAGGAAAATCAGGTATGGGGGCTTTTGTTTATATGTTGACATGCATGCCAAAATGCCAAACGATATGAATTTGTTTGTATGTTTTGGGTTGTGAATGTTTATATTGTGCGTTTTTTATTGTGTTTGGACGGTTCATTTCTTTGTATCTTGTTTTTTCTGTTCGGTGTTTTTGTGTGAATTTTATGGGTTTTTGGTTCTTGTCTTGTGTTCCTGTTAATTTCTTAGCCATTTCTTATGTTGTTCCCCGCTTTCTTTTCCTCGTTTATTGTTTGAATGGAGGAGGTTATAAATTTGTTCTGCTACCTTGAAGGCCCTGTGCCGAACAATATGTTCTGTTGTATTCTTGAATCTCCTCTGTTTTCTGAGGAAAGAGGCCTTTTTTTTTTTTTCTCTACAAGCCTTCAAGAATTATTTTTATGTACTATTTTGTGAAGTTAGGAGGATTTGTGCTTCAGTTTTGATATGTACATCTTTTGCTTTATTTTATTTTTTCTATTTTATACCATATTTCGACACCTTTATTTGACATCAGTTGTTTATTTTCAATTAATTACATTTGACGACTGTTCAAAATGGGGTTATCTTTGCTCATCAAAAATTATGTTTCAGTTATTTCTGTTTTCCTCCCAATGGCTGGACAAGAATACAAAACCTTGATTCTAAACTGTCGGCTATGGAGCAGTACTTTTTATAGTTTTGATGTGATATGTTCATTTTCTTTCACCTCCATATTTACATGGAGTCCTTTTCAAGCTGCCAGTCGGTTTACTGCATAGTGAAATGAATCAGGCATCTTTCAAATTGTTTCGTATCTTCGTCTCAGTTGTTATACAAAAATTGTCATTGTTACAGGTGTATTAAGATAATATTTTTTTAAGTGCTGGTAAGATAAGTATTCTCATGTAATGTAGGATAAGAAGTTGTCTTATGACAAGTTTTTTATGCTCTAGTGGTCTCTAGCATTAATGTGATAAGAATGCATTATGGGGTCACCTGAATTTTCAATTGCTTTCACGCATGGCATGGTTTTGTTTTCTAGATTTTAAATGTGCTGGGTCCATGTGGGTTAAGCTTCCCATGCCGTTCTGTAGGACCGTAATATGTGGTTGCATTTTGTATGTCTTTAGTTTGATGTTGGCTCGAATTACATTATATATATAGCAGACTAGCAGTTTGTCTGCTAAACATTTTTGCATTATAAATATCAGCATTGTTTTCCTAAATATTGTATTTGGTATCGACATCTGGTCAAGTTCTCAGACTGGCAGTCAGGTTATTTAGTTTTCCCATTTTCTTTCTGTTTGTATACTAGCATTCTCAATATGAAGCTTTTCTTGGTTTGAAGGGAATCTGTTCATTGATAATATGATTAGGCTTTTTGGTATGCAATATCTTTGATTTTCTTGTTTCCTCTTTGGTCTGCTATTTAATCCTCTCTTCACTATTTTATTTTTTATTTTTTTTCATCTTGGTACTGCATGATTAAAATATCAATCTTCCGTAACTGTCAGTGAGGAACGATAACATCAAGCATATGGCCTGCAGTTAATATAATATCAGTAGGATTTTCTATTGGTTCTAATAGCTGAGAAAGGAAGAGAAAGTCTGAGTAGTTTATTTGTATATTTTCTGTCGATTATGGTCTTTTAGTTGCTTAGTGGTCAAGTAGATCCTTGATTTTTGTCATAAGCCTTCTCTGTTGCTGCTATACATGAATTGCACTTATCCATATTTTGTAATTGGGTGCTTAAGCTGGCTAATTATTTGTATCTCACAAATTAGAGCAAAATGTGCAGTAGTATAATGATATCATTTATATATTTCTTAAAAGTTTTCAGCTTCAACTACAAGAATGTTTTATTCATATGTTAAGCTTTCAAATTTCTCCAAACTGACAAGTGGACATCGAATAAATTATATGAATGCAAGAATTCTTTCTTCAAACCTGCAGTTTGTGAGAATCCTTATAGATGCATGGAAAAATGGTTAACTGAAACATTATAGATTGTTCCAGTTTCTTTTTCTTCTCTCTCTCTCTCTCTCTCTCTCTCTCACTCTGACACACATACACATATAGATGCTTCTCTGGCATCTCGAATTCACTTACTTGATTTACTGCTTTCCATAAAGCACTTATGCATATTATCTGAACAGGTTATTCATTTATCGGCAAAGCAGCTGTTTGGTAAATTGAGTGCGAAAGACTGTAAGCCAAGTCGTGTTACTATCTGACTTTTACTTGCTGACACTATTAGCTCGGATATAATGGAGGCAAACCATACATCCCCTGTTCTCACTGACCCGTCTCCCATGAACAACACAAGATTAGGAATTCACTCTGCCATGTTACCTTACTCTCATAACGGCTCCTCATTTTCTCCCCCACTCTTCCTTACTATACCAAGGAGAAAGAATGGAATACTTGATGACATACGCTGCTCCATGTTTGATGCCATGAAATCATCATCTCCAACTCATAATAATCTGACAAATGAGACCAATACAGAGTCGACTCTAAACGACGACGATATAGCTTACCGCAACTGGCTGGTATCATTTCATTGTGTTTGTTTTACTCCCTTTTTGTTTTCTTTTTAAAGGCTGGTTTTTTATTTTGTGGGTTGGCTCTTGCAGTTCAAGTATCCATCGGCACTTGGGTCGTTCGAGCAAATAGCAAACAATGCAAAGGGAAAGAGGATAGCGTTATTCTTGGATTATGATGGGACTTTATCACCGATAGTGGACAACCCTGATAATGCATTCATGTCTAATGTGGTGAGTATCTGTAAAATAAAACATATGTAATGACTTTTATTGCTTCTGTTTGAGTTGGTTCTGAAATTTTATGACTTCTGTTCAGATGCGTGCTGCTGTCAGCAATGTGGCTAAGTATTTCCCCACGGCTATAATTAGCGGAAGAAGCCGTGACAAGGTAATTGGATGGCTTTTATTTATGTTGTGATTTTTGTGCTTATTTTCTGAGAGTATGATATATTTTGAGAATGAATTTATTGTTTCATTCACATGTCATTTATTCAGGTATACGAGTTTGTAGGCCTAACTGAACTTTATTATGCTGGTAGTCATGGAATGGACATCATGGGTCCTGTTCGTCCTTCTAACAGTGACCATAAAAACTGTATTCGGTCCACTGACAAACAGGTATTTGTACTATGCACTATATATATACATATATATTATAAAATCTAATTATACTACTCGAAGCTACTCGTTCAGCGATTGCATTTTTTTAATTTTACGTTTGTACTTATGGTGCATAGGGCAAGGAAGTCAACTTATTCCAGCCTGCTAGTGAATTCTTACCCATGATTGACGAGGTATGCTACTTCCTTGATCTGTTTAGTAATTACTCATAATTTCAGAAAATACATTCATTCATACAAAATATTTTGGTGCTATTGTCGAGCCAGGTTTTTGAATCGCTCATCGAAATTACAAAAGATATAGCTGGTGCACACGTCGAGAACAACAAGTTTTGTGTTTCCGTTCACTATCGTAATGTGGATGAGAAGGTAATTTTTTCTAGTTTCTTGTTTTAGATGATTTTTTCCGTACACTAACTACAGCTGCCTCGTTGTTTTTGTGTTCACTTTAATAATTTACAGAGTTGGTCATTAGTTGGTCAGTTGGTGGAGGAAATTCTTGCGAGGTATCCTCGTTTGCGGTTGACTCATGGTCGGAAGGTATTTCTTGAGAAAAAAATATACTTATATTGTATCATGAGCTCTATAGTCCTACTCGTTTTATTTTTTTATTTTTTTTTGCTATATATGCGCATTTAATTTACTGAACTGATTGAATTCAGGTTTTAGAAGTCCGACCAGTCCTGAACTGGCACAAGGGTAAAGCTGTTGAATTTCTACTTGAATCGCTTGGTGAGTGAAAAAAAAAAACATAGATATTGAAAAACAAAAGGCAGTTCTTTTTCCAAAAAAAAATTGATGAAATTTTATGTATGTTTCATATGATAGGTTTAATGAACTGTGATGATGTTCTTCCCATATATGCTGGAGATGATCGTACGGATGAAGATGCATTCAAGGTATATTCTCAAACTTATGGTGATGTCAGCTGCTGTTTTATTTATTATGTCGAGTGAATGCTAAACAACACAAACACGTTGCAGTTCTTGAGAGAGGGTAATCGAGGTTATGGTATTATAGTGTCATCTGTGCCCAAGGAAAGCAATGCATTTTACTCTCTCAGGGATCCTTCTGAGGTATTCCCAACTTTCTAATATATTTCATTCGGATTTTGCTGAATTATGCATAGAAACCTCACGAGCATTGATTTACGTGCAGGTGATGGATTTCCTCAAGACATTGGTGACATGGCAGAAGAAAATTGCGCTGTAGGGAAAGAAGTGCGTGCGTTTGGTGATACATATAGTAATAGGAAATATAAATATATGAAATTTTTCCTCCTTTAGCTTTGATCAGATTTTCGGGGGTTTGGGAGCTGAGGTGCCTAATCGAGAGCTTCTTCGTGCAATAACTACCTTTTGGTTTTGTTGGGAGATGTCGTCAAATCTTCTTCGTCTCTCTCACTTACTTTCACCAAGGATGCTCGGAGCCCTTAGTTTTTATTTTTCTTTTTCTTTTTCTTTTTTCCCGGATTTTCACCATTATCGGTTGGTTCTTGTTTTCAAGGCCTCCCTAAGGGTGGCTATATGAGTTCATTGGTCCATTTGTCATCTGTTGAAGTTTGTTTTCTTTTGAACATTTGAACTATGTCTTGTATCTTTGTAGTTTTTACTGCAAGAATGTCATGTTTGTGTAATATTTGCTTGCTTTATATCTGTCTATTTGAATCTCATTTTACCTTGAAGGGNTAATAAATTTTGTTTTTATATCCTCTTTAATGATAGGTTGGATTGTGAATTCAAGCTCTGAGAATATCAGTTGACATAGTACTATTTTTAACATAAATCAAACTGTACATTTTGGTTCTCTCAATTTGGTTGAAATGGTCAATGTTTGTTCAATTGTGAAAACAAGCCCAACAAATGAAAATGATTCCAGCAAATGCATCTTCCCCAACTTCATCAAATTAAAACAAGCCCAACAAATGAATATATTGAACAATCAAATGAGTGATAAAATGAATTTATACTATTTTATGTAGAAAAGCAAACTTTATTGAAAATGGATAATAATGTTATTATAACAGTCAATGAAAACTCGTAAAGAACGACTATAAATATATGTTTTTGTATTTCTACTTTTCGTATAATATTTTATATTTTTTTATTTAATAATTAGGCCCCCACTCATTAAATTTCTTAGATCCGCCCTTGCTAGTACGTGTATTCTAGTGAGGCATGTGTTGACATACGTGAAGTGTCTGTAGCGTGTTTAAGGCCAATGTCTATAAGGTCGGCAGTAGATTTGGTGAACGATAGATAGGAGTGTAAAGCCAAGGTGGCGTCCCTTGATACGTGAGTAAGACCAAAATGTACTAGAGTGTGCCTCCGTGCACAGGATAACTTGAAAGGGGTGTTGTAACGTGTGTGTGCGAGCTATGACATTTTCATTGTGCAATTGAGTATTTATAGCCGATGGTTGGACATGAGCACGTAAATGTGTTGGTGTCACTTATTATTTACTTAATTCTTTTCGTGAGTGCGCGAAGTGACGACTTGCACCGCCGTCAAATCATACTTGTATGGATTAGCGAAGGTTTAATAGGATGATTGAGGACGACTACTCGAGGAATCATGCCGCACTGGCGGGTGAAAATTTGGTCTTCAGAGCCGGCTCGGTGACAATTAGAGATTGCTGTTATTTTTATTGGAAAAAATGTTTCTCAATTTTAAGAAAATTTCAATTTGTTCAATTTATCAGTTTCCCCGTAATTTACAATTGTACCCCCACTTGGAACTTGTTATATTCTGAACCCAACACCAAGTTCAGTTATTTTGTTGTTCTCATAAAACGCAGGGTTCGATCAAGGAAAGACCTAGACCGAGGGCTCTCCTGTTCTTGGTCGCCGTCCCTGCCTCATGGTTCAAACCTTTGTGCGCAGCTCTTCCCCTGGGTGTACCCTAACTGAGCCGGTTTAGCTAGCCTATTTGAATCCAATTCTCCTTCGGATACATTCGTCCTCCTTTCAGTTGGCAAAGATAAGCCAGTCACTTTTTTTTGATAGTGGGTTCTCGTACAAAAGCACTAACTGACTTCTCATCAGATAGTCATCTTCTAGGCCATCCAGTAAGTCAGCAAATTTCTTGGCAAGATAAAAAAAAATGACGACTTTACATGATGAAAAACTAGAGGTCGCAAAAGAATCCGGAGAAAAGGAAGACTGCGAACGCTTAGACGATGACGAAGAAGAAGATGAAGAATTGTCCTTTTCGTCGGACTCAGAAATTGGGGAGGCTTTGGATTATTTGGATTCGAGGGATGACGCTGACGGCGGTGTGGTGGATAGCTCGTTCACCTTGCTGCACACAAGGCGGCCCAATGCTCATGGTGGGCTCCACTCCAGGCCCAACAACTCTTCTCTTCAGCCGATATCAAATAAGTCTCAGAAAATTTCCAGTCACTTCCGGGCGTCTCCCTTGGAGGTATTTAGTTAGCGGGTTAATTTGATTTGATTTTTTTTTTATTCCTGGGTTTTGTTTGTGTGTATAAATTTAGGCGTTAGCGAGTTTGTTAAATAATTTTTGGCTGAGGACTGTTTGGGTTTTTAATTGGATTGAAAAAGGTTTAATCTTTGTTTTTATTTAGAGTGGAGGATGTGAGTGCGTGTGAGCTCAGAGCAGCATCTCTTACATAAATTTTTGCTGTTCTGTTGGATATTAGGTATTTTTCAGGCTGTTTGTCTGTTTTTATGTTTGTTTTTTATGTGATTTTAGTTGTAAGAAGCCTGCTTACATGTGCAGGAGTGGGAAGGGAGATTCAATGTTGGGATGTCGAATTCTGTTACAACTGCCATTCGTGATAGTGTTCGTGATATGGCCATTGGCAAGACTAAAACAACTGAGAAGGCAGATCGGGCAACGGTTGAGCAGGTATATTGTGGGTTCTTTATTTATTACTGCAACAATTTTGTGTAACTAGCACACTTGTTTCTTGCTGGCCAATTTCATGTTTCTGGTTTGCTGATTAAGATATGCAACTTTATATGCCATGGAAATTTTGACTTCCACAGAATCATTCTTCACTGTATAAAGTGCAGTTCCTAATAAAGCTCTGTTCTTTCTTTCAGGCAATCGACCCTAGAACCCGTATGGTTTTATTCAAAATGCTGAATCGGGGTGTGTTTAATGATATCAATGGCTGCATATCAACTGGGAAAGAAGTATATTTTCTCCTCATGCATTTTCCTTTCATCTGCTCGTTCATTTTTTAATAAATATAACTTAAAACTGAATATCCTAGCCCTTTATATGTAGTCTGCCTGAAGTTCTAAAGCTATTTTTAATCCTGTTTAATTTAATTACGAAGGCAATCCCTTTTGTGTTAATTTTCTCCTTCCAACAGGCTAATGTCTACCATGCTACTAAATCTGATGGTCAGGAACTGGCAATCAAGGTTTACAAAACATCCGTTCTTGTATTCAAGTACGTGTAACTAGCTTTTAATTTTTACCCATCCATTCATAGTTTCATGTATCTTGTATACTAGCTTATTGGCTTGAGTGAGTACCAGGAGGGTTCTCTCTCCTCTCTCTCTCTCTCATCATTTGTGTTCTTTATTCAACACACAAAATAAAATCTTACATTATTTTTGGAGGTTAGAATAGTGATTGTCTGCGAAGAATCTGTTCCAATTTCATCATAATGAGTTTTGCCATGAAATTTTTACTGTCTCGTTTTTCCAGCCATCAATGGAGAAGATAATATCTATTTGTAGCTATTCTGCATGGCTGTTTGCCTATACGTTTTATGTTATTGAAATTTTAAGAGCGGCCTTATTATTTGAATAAGAACAGAGTAGTAATATTTATCAACGCATGACCCTTTTGCTTATGCATTAAAAGTGGAACTTGGAATTATGGATTGTGACGTTTTCCATCCCAAACCAACAGGGATAGAGACCGTTATGTGCAAGGTGACTACAGGTTCAGATATGGGTATTGCAAGCACAACCCCCGAAAAATGGTTAAGACTTGGGCTGAGAAAGAAATGAGGAATCTTATGAGGTAATCATATCTCATAACCCCTTGATTACTTTCTAATGCAAATATTCAAAGTTCTATTTTTGTGAATCCGTGCATAGACCCAAGCTTACATATTGTACAACCTTTGTGAAGGCTGAGAGCAGCAGGAATTAGGTGTCCAGCTCCACTACTTTTGAGGCTTCATGTTCTGGTCATGGAATTTATAGGTACTTCTGTTATATTCATTCAATAGTCATGGTATATATGTTAAGTTGATTTAAGTTTTTCCCTTAGATGATTATAATGATGGTTAGAAGCAAAATTTCTTTTTTCAACAAAGAAAAGTAGGTTATGTTAATGTCGCATCACTACCGTATGATGCCAGTTTTAGTTATATGTTGAAAAAACAAAGGGGAAAAAAAAAAAAGATCGTCCCGAAAGTTGATTTATATCTGCTTCACAGGCAAGGCAGGTTGGGCAGCACCTCGGCTGAAAGACGCTGATTTGTCTCATGATAAGTTACGTGAAGGTTATGTTGAGGTAAATTTTGCATTTCAGATTAATTTATCTTGTCAGCTTTACACCGGAACTACTTTGTTCTCTCAATAGAAGAGGCAGATGAAAATTTGCTAGTGCTCTAAATATAGAATAAAAAGAGTCATTTCATGTCTTACTAAAACTCTAATGGAAAAAGCTGAAGCTGCTCTTTATTCTCTCTATGCCAGATGATTATAGCAATGCGGACATTATATCAGAAGTGCAAACTGGTGCACGGAGATCTCAGTGAATACAACATACTTTACTATGAGGTCAGCTTTCCTTTTTTTTTTTTTTTTCCCACCCTTTTGTCCTTTCTAGTTTTAAATTCTGACATTCGGACCACAGAATAGTGATATTTTTAAGTGGTTTTGCAGGGTCACTTGTATATAATTGATGTTTCACAATCAGTTGATCTTGACCATCCTCATGCCCTTGATTTCCTTCGAGAGGATTGTATACACGTTTCAGTAAGTATTTTTTGTGCCTATCTATTGTATAACCTTTTATTTTGGCATATATTTTGAAGGAGTTTATGTCAATAAAGCGACTTAGGTTTTGTCTTCATTTTCATGCAGGATTTTTTCAAGAAAAACGGAGTAGCTGTAATGACAATACGTGAATTATTTGATTTTATTGTGGATCCTACCATTCAAGATGATTCGGTGGACAGTTATCTGGAAGAGGTATGAAAAAAGCCGCATGGAATTTGTCCAAGCTTTACATATTATCTGATTTTTCATCATATTTCAGTTGAAAATCGGTGTAATCATTCTATGAATTTTTTCACAGGTGCAACAAAAAATCTTGGCTAGAGGTGACACGATATCCGTTGAGGAGGAAATCGCAGATTC